CGCTACTTATACGTTGAGTGTTCGAAATTTAACACTGCAAAACAATAATAAATCGATGCCATGTTAATTTTCGAAAGTATTTTCTTTTTCTTATCTTATTTTCTTTTATGTGAATAATTTACATACAAAGCTGCCTTTCCTGCAAAACATACGCACTATAAGACAACATGTTAGTCAAATGTGTATTACAAGACATAAGACAAATGTTAAAATACATTTTTTTAGGCTAATTAAAAATTTTCTATGGCTTTTCACAGGCAGGATTTTGACAAACTCCAAATATACCGGCAGAAAGTTTTTGACCCATACATCATTCGATTCAGTCTTTCACGCTGATTCCAAATACGTAAATATTGTTCGTAAATTTTGTTCGCATCCACCATAGATGCGCGGCCTCGCGAGGAACATTTTGGTATAAAAATATGTTAGTTCAGATCTGCGCTAAGCTGCACGTTCTCAAAATACCGGAGAAAGCCTTTACAGCCTAGACCGTTTTCGAAAGAATCCATTCCAATTTGGAATGGATTCTTTCGAAAACGGTCTAGGCGAGATGGGCAGCTGCGACCCCTTCCGGCTCCGGTTCCGGTTCCGGTCCAGCTCCACCTCCTCTTTTGCATACTTGGCTCCGGCTCCACTCCGGCTCTGCCTTCAATTTTGAATATCCGGCTTCGACTCCTCCCTAATGTTTTTAAACCCAGCTCCGGCTCCGACGTCCGCTCCAACTTCAAAAGAGTATCTTTTTCCTTGGTTTTTCTTTTAATGAGTTTTCTAGGTTTTCAACTAACAACAAATATGGAAAAAATAGAAATGAAAAGAAATGAATAACAAATGAAAGCTATCTAATGTAGAAGAACAGAATTCCACTTGAGAAATGTTAGTTTCGCTAACATTTCTTTTGTGAGACGTCCTCTGTGTGGTCGAATCACGAAACCACTAGTAGAAAACACACGCTCGACAGGCGCTGATATTGCAGGTACGCATAAAAGCCGACGAGCTAACAAACTAAGATATGGATAGGTTTTTGCTTGGAAAAAGTCAAGAGAAAACAATACGAAAATACTTGACAGAAAGAAATTATCATCTGATCGACGATCGAGAGTTAGCCACTTGTAACAAAAGAAAGATGTAGATACTACCGATACATATATATGTAAACAAAGAAATAGAGCGAATATATGTGGAAAATGTCAGCATTGTCAGCTCACCCACATTGTTAACAGAACGAGAAAAATTCCGAGCCGGCAAACAGTTCTCGGCTCCGACTCCGGCTCCGATTACAATAATTCACGCCCGGCTCCGGCTCTAATCGCAGTATTTGACGGCCTGGCTCCGGCTTCAACTCCGGCTTCAGGTCCAATGTTTCCCGTCCGGCTCCGTTTATAAGAGAAGCCGGCTCCTAGGAGCCGGATTGGAGTCGGTCGGCTCCGGAGCCGGAGCTGCCCATCTCTGATTCCAAAACTCTTAAGTTTCACTCGAAAAACCAAACTTTTTTTATTTCGCACTCGTTTGACTGTGTTCTTTCCGACTATGATCTCGGTTTTACTATCCTTCAATAAAAATCGAAAAAAACCAGCGCATTTACATGGTGTTTTTGCATTTCAAATCTTTTATAGGAGGAAAAGTCGTAGAACAAAAATTGTTTCGCCATTAAATCGGCCGTCACTCGAAGTATATGAAACACTATTTAAATTACCAAAAAGCAAAGTCCTTGTTTTTTTCTAAATTTCCATCTGAATGTCCACTGTGTATAGAACTGCTTTTCAATTTGTCGAAGAGAATAAATTTCCGAACGTACATTATCGATATCAACACATTAACATAATGTACAGCGTTGCAAAAATCCAAGTTCAAAATGTTCAAAGAATGGAATCAA